TTATTGATAATATTATAATACACATTATCGATTATCATATTAAATTATCAGTGATAAACACTCATCAATTACAATCATGAACTACTATAAAAAAGGTTAGGTTAGGTAAATTCATGATAACAATAAAGACCGTGGAACCACTGGTACCTACAAATCAAGGTTTTTAGCACGGTTTAATATAACCGTGGTTTATTGGTATAATTATTATCAATTATCTGTATCGTTATCGTAACTGMTGCACTGCTGCAGACGTAATCAAAAACCATATTTAAGATTAATTATTAATAAGATTTAAGACATTCGCCACAAACGCCCGGATAAACTGACACAGTGCCACTATGAAAAAAAATAGCCCCCTCTGACGGCCACTTTTATCTAGCCCTAGGCACGTGCCTACCCTGCCTATACGTTAATCCGGCACTGCATAGGTCGTAACATTTTAGAAAGCTCACAGGTATATATATATGTTAGAATATATGTTTGAATTTGATTCTTTGGTTAATTTAAGTATAATCCGGTCCGACTATGGTCTTCTGTTAAATTTGAAGTCCAGTCCGGTCCCCCAAAAAAACGGATCGTCCAGAGTACTCTCTACCCACAAAATGAAAAGACATATTTATATGTTATATAAGCTCGATACCTAAGTCTCCACCTAACGCCTTTCGTGATTATATATTTTTTTTTTAATATTATTTAGGTTTGTTAACTGGTTTCCATTACATACATTTATTAATTGGTATGATTTTGTCACGTTTCACAAGTGAATTCGACAATTATTGTTATGTGGATATGGGAACTATAGCTATGGTTGTTGTGAACCTTCTAGCACTATTAGCTATTGATGACCCACCTTATTATCGGATGAAATTTCATGAAAAATGGACAGATTTTTATAATCTTGATTACAGTCTACAGATTCAAGATAATTGTCGTTCTAAAATTTTACAAGATAATTATTACAAGGTATGATACAAGAGACAGACTACTATAGTTATGACATACTGCTTTATTTATAGAATTGTATGTATATTTTTACAGATTTTTAAGATCGAAGACAACCATTGCTTTTTTTTATATTTTACGAAAAAACGATTTTTGCGGCCGCTATTGATTAACGTCTGCCTAATTAGTATTCAACAATTTAGTGGTCACTTTTCTCTAACGTATAATCTCCAATGTCTTAACAGAATACTATCTATTAGCGAAATAATACCGACCGTGACTGCAATCTTACTTCTCCAAGTAAGTATATCTGTGTTGTATGCGGATATTTAGTATTTTTAATTTTTTTTTTTTTTTTTAATGTTTTATTCGATCTGTTACAAAAATATGATCAATAAAAACAATTAAGAAAGTAAATAAAGTAAATAATTAGTTAAAAGTTTAAAAAAAATACAAGCAAATAGATAAAGATGACAGATTAAACAGAGTGTAATCTCTATTCAGAATTAGAATGCCTACTTTCGCGCATTTATACTGTGCTAACGGCTTAACCCGGCGAGATTTAGGTGTGCTGTGATTAGTAGTCGGTTACACCCATAATAAACTGTGCCCACGGGTCCAATAACATTTTATTTTTATTATTTATTACCTCTATTTCGTTATAGTGTGTATTTTTTACAATGTTTTTTGTATTTTTACCTTATTGTTCTGCGTCAAACACAAGTTATACATCGTATACAATTAAAACTAATAAATAAATTAAAATGTAATTTACAAAAAATTAGTAAATTAGTAGAATCTGAATCATTTTCAGATGACGTTTCTCCCGTTACAATCATCAACAAATCACCTCCCTCTGCAGAAAAAACCTCATATTATATAATGCTATCGGCTTCATAAAATTTGATTTCTTCCTCTTTGGTTTTTTTAAATAAAATGTTTCAAAATTTGTGTGTCAACACGGTCTATGCCTTCTATTAATATTTTTTACGTCTGAAAACTTGTAACTGGTGTTGTTCGTCCAAACATTCTTTATTGATGACCAATCCAGCTAAACGGGGTTAAACTCATAGTGGTATGGCGGAAGTTGTAATACCAATACGGTTTGATTATTAGTTTTTACAAGTTCATCAATATACCTATTATGTAGTTGCTTAAAACGCTTAGTCATGAGCAAAAGTTGAGGGATAAGTTGTATGGTTATACATGGACTGATGACTTCACCCTTATCCTCAAACCACTTAATGATTTCTGCCTTTCTGGTGTTCGATGTTGGGGCTTTGTCTATTTTCATAGAATGATAGGACGCAATATCCATAACAATTACTGAATTTGGTTTTATTCGAGGTAAAACGCCCTCCATTCTCTCACGAAATTCATCTCATCATGGTAGTCACGTGTATTTATTTATTTATTATTTTTTTTTTTTTGATTCAAAACAGAATAACTCGCCAGGCAGGAAACCGTTTTCAAAACTGATGTGAAGTACAATAAGTTGTTTTACTATGGCCAACGGATTACCACCAGTTGATATACCTTTTAAAAATGCGTCCCCGTAAGATGTTATTGTTGTGTCGACCCACGTTTTCGATGTACAATCGTCAGCATTCACCCATATTTCGTCGAGGAAATAAATATGTCGACCTACTTCACRGTATTTTTTGATATTCTCCAAATAAATTCTACACAATGCAACAATTTAATTTTTTTCAGTCTGTTGGCACTGTTGCAACTTCTCTTAGTGTACTAGAAATCCAAATACTTTAACAGATAAAATTAATTCGTGCGTGAAATCTATAGCAATTTGTAGTCAGTGGATACGGCTGGGTAAATCTTGTCAACTGTAGGAATTTAACGACAAAACATGTGCTATGCACGTGCCTACGTATTGTATTTCTAGCGAATCGTCATATTCATTTATATTTTATACTAGCTGACCCGGCAAACGTTGTTTTGCCTAATTTTTTTTWAAATTAAGTTGACCCGGTGAACTTAACGCCTTCAAATAAAGTCTAGATTGATAATAAAATTCAAGTATTCCATTGTAATGAATTGTGACAGAAATCAATATATTCCATTTTGATAAAAAATGTTTTTCGTTTTGTTTTCTGGTGCAAAAATAAACAACGATGACGGTTTTCCAACAAGCGAACTGGCAACGTACAGCTGCCCGTGCGAAAAACATGGAAATTCCAAATTGATCCCACAGACTTCCAACGATTGGCCTTGCGATTTATTGATTGTCATCGCAAAAGCCAATCTAACGGGAAACTGAATCCGCTTAAACTGAAATGGAAGATCTGTTGGAATGATCGGAAWTCGTGGGATAAGGACTTCCTCCCCTTTGAAATYRCCCTTGATGATCGTTGATTGTATTACATTGTTCATCAGTTTCTTGACGGACAATCGTGTACCATTACACAATTTAGGAGGATTTAGATTCCGCAACATAATTATGATCGATCCCAACTTTACCTGTAAATTATGCGGTGGAGTTCCTGGCACATCAAGTGAGTTCAAAAATTCTGTCGGATAGTTTACCGTTTCGTTTTCGTCGGTCGTGCTGTCAATGGATTTGCATGAACGCAGTTCTTCAGCAATTTTACTCTGAATTGTAAAATTCAAGCTATCGACGTCCTTATTCCTCGCTGCTAGTATTGTCCGTTCACTCATCCAATCAAGATTGTTATAATTGACCTCAATGCTTGGGAACACTTTTGTAATGAGTTCTTCCTTCGACGATGTGAACTCACAAAAATTTGACAGAAACAATATTAATCCAGTCAAAACATCAATCGGAATGTGTCCATTACCAAACGCCAGCAGTTGTCTCGAGAATTCAGCAGCCGATGGATCGTTTTGCAACGCAACTCTCATGTTCGTGGTCAATTTCAACTTCTTGACATGCTGCCACAAAAATGACGATTTCAGGCATGCATTAATTTCATCGGCAGCAGTAGATTTCGGAATGACGGGAAGTGTTTGACGAAAATCTCCGGAGAGCAATATTATTGCCCCACCAAATCGTTTCGAATTACCTCGTAAATCTTTCATCGTTCGGTCAACTGCATCCAAAGCTAGTTTATGTGCCATCGTACATTCATCCCAAATGATGATTTTGCATTCTCGCATCAATTTCGCTGTCGCTGAATTCTTGGTCGTTGTGCACGTAGGTTTGTCAACCATGAGAAGATTCATTGGCAGCTTCAAAGCTGAATGTGCAGTTCGACCGCCTCCCAACAATGTGGCAGCAATGCCAGAGGATACGACAGCCAACGCAATTTGTGATCTTGACCGAATTGTTGCCAGAATCAACGAAATKACGAACGTTTTGCCTGTCCCTCCAGGAGCATCGAGAAAGTAAATGCCYCCCGTWCCATCATCAACAACCTTCATCAGCGAATCGTATACATTCTTCTGMTCGGCATTCAACAGCGGCACATTTTTTCGGACTCTTTCAGCCTACTCATCTAGATCATAGTTTTTCTCCCACTGTAATTCAAGATTGAATGCAGCGTGCCTCGAACGATTTGGCGCTGGCATTCCCAAAGTTGACAACAGACTGCCGCCATGAGCACGCACATGTCTTCGATCAGAACTAATGCTTCGTTGCGCATCTCGTCGTTACTTTCAATATCAAAATTAAAATTTGTCGTTTGAACTCTGTGCAAAATGTCATCAACCATCTCGTCCTTGTATTTCTCCCACAATGCATTYGGGTTCGATGGATGACATGTGGCTATGATGATCGCAAACAACGTACGAATTTGATTTGCTGGCGCAGAAACGGTTGCATCGGCGAGTGTTAAGTCCCAATGTGAATCGTTTTCGAGCAAATTCAAGCATTGGCAAGCTTCCCGAAAAGTTGTGCACAGTACACCATCGACAGTACGCAGGGAATTGAAGGATGTCGGGCCCCTAACGTTCACCAAAAGTAAGCGAAGATAGAAGCATTCGTCTTGGCTTGGATGAACTGTGTACATTCGTCCGAGGGAATCAGTCGAATTGACATCTGCGAAGCCAGCAACAGCTTCACCTTTCTTCCTGCGTTGAAATTTCTTTGATGCAGAATTCCATGTATAATAGCGTGGCATTTCCGAATATAGTCAAGTACTCGCGAACGGATCGCTTTCGCTTGTAGAAAAAAAATTTGTCAATGTCGTCGCTGGTCGTTCTGCTCTTTGCGCTGCGTTTGCTTCCGTAAAGTATACACGCTGGCCGTTCTCTAAGTGAACTGCCAAATGTACGACAGTCGGGTGACGTTCATGAATTGTAAATGAAAACAGCCGCCAAATTGTCTCATTACAACTCACGTAACGTCCAAGTTGAAATTTCATCACCTCATCGTTTGCATTTGGATCAGGAATGCCAAACACAGCCATGTAACTGATATGGCCGATGAGTCTCGTACACGCGCTGCAATTGTCCACCATCGCAACGCTTAAGAACAATATCGCGTGATGCCACATTTTCGCCAACAATCACCAYTGCGACTTCATTGATAGTGGGAGCATTGAATTGTCTTTCATGGCTTCCAGAGGGTCTTTTGTTTGTCTGCTCTGATAATGATTTTGTGGTCGTCAGAATGCGTTGTGTCCAATGCGGTTTTGAACATTCTAACCAATTGATTATGCTCATGCAGAAGAATTTGCAATTGTCCGATTATTTCACGTTTATTCGCAGGAAAAATTGCACACCGCTGTTYTAGTTCRTTTTCCGAATTAYYAACGAAATATATCTGAAGGAACTTATGATCTTCGTTTGGTTGTGGTAACAAAGCGCCTGCTCGATGGTGAATTTGTCCTTGAACCTGAATATTTAAATGGTCATTTGTAAAAAAAAAATGTGTTATTATTACAAACGCATTTACTTTATAACTCGGGTTGTAGCCTGGTTGTTCAATAACTTTTGCTCCATATTATGTCATTTGAAAACTTCCGTTATATTTTTGTGTATTCGCCAGGAAATGTTTTGATTGGATTGTATTTCCATAGAGAAACGAATACAATGGCTCTGGTGGTTGAGCTAAGACTGGTAATTTAACCTTGCCACCAGCGCAGCATAAGCCGGGGGTTTCCAATCGAAACTTCAATGCCTTGCAATGCTGGCATACGATATATAATGAGCCGATATCAACACACAAAAGATCTTTGTAAGCGACTGCGGAATCGTATTCGAAAGCAGCGCGATTCAAGGCTACATCTGAACTTCTTCTTCTTATATTAACATGTTGTCGAATTTGAGGCGGCGTTTGTGCAGCGCGGSCCTGTGTATTATGAGCACGTCTAAATTCATTAATG